TGCTGATTAGCCACCTCCACAGTAAACATCTCATGTAGATGCACCCACTGAGAGTCATGTAACCTAATGCTGCTGTTAAATCTTTGTTCTGTCCACAGATCATCCTTTAGGTCCCAATTCTGCAGTGAGACCCACCTCAGAGTAACAGGCTACTGACACGGTCTACTCCCAATTCAGGATCAAGTCTTTATTTTGAAATGCTGTTAGTATATGTGCTTACAGTAATTTCCTGCATGCCTCCAAACAAGTTTGAGGGCAGGGACTCTATTTTCTTACCTTTTTAGAAAGCACTAAGTGCACTCTCTATACAACATAAACAAACAGTTATGAATAAACTGTCTAGCAACAGTCAAAGAAAATTATGGAAAGAAAATTATCAAACTATTCCACAGGAATCTTCTGCAGCAATGGCTTCGGTCTGAGCACTGGCATTAATATCTGTCATACCTATACCAACCCAATGTCTCCTCTGTAGTAACAGACAAAGAGTTGTGGGGAGGAGGTGACTGAAACAGTTGATCCTGCAAAATGCTGGGCACTTTTGAAAGATTCTGGATACCCTCCACTCCCACTGACTTTGATGGGAGTTGAGAATATTCAGTACATCACATCCTGGGGTCCATAAATTCCAATAGATTTCTGCACATCACTTACCTGAATATGAAGGACACTAAAATTAAATGAGGCAGCAAAATTAAGACTCTGCATATTTAGCATAGACTAAAAGCCATCTCCTCTTATTGAGTTTAATGTAAATTCCATATATAGTTCAATAGCAGAACATTGCCTAAAAAAAAAAAAAAAATACAATGAAAGGTTTCATTTAAGAAAGCAATAATTGGGCAAAGATAGAGACCAACTTGGAAAAATAAAATTGATGGGAACAAAATATGGTTTGCTATAATTTCTTGTCCTCAATCTGCATTTGTAACTGGCAGTCTGATTGTGCTAGTAAACAGTTTTCAAGAAAAGCCTCTACATGCTTAAAGAAAACATTTCTTTGTTGTTAGTTTTTTTTTTGTTGCTTCTTTTTTGAAGTAACTCGTAGCTAATTCAAATAATCACATTTTGGAGAGACAAATACAGTAATTTCTGAATCAAACAGACCCCAATAAGTTGTTCCCTGAATATTGCTATACCAGCTTAGGGCCAGCCTGCAATGTAACAAAAGCTGGATTTGCAAATTGTCCCAGAATATTTGCATATATGATGCATGGTAGGGCTTACTTCAAGAACAACTGATTACTCCTAGATTAAATATTTACTTTGCCCAAGTTGATTGAGGACTGTGAACACATCCTACAAACATAATGTAATTCATTAATAATTTGGACATGGAAATATGAACTTTCATATCACTGATCCTAAAAGATAAGCATAACCTAATCACCTTCTTCGCCTGATAATCATCCACATTGAAGGCAAGTGGGAGAAGCCAGTAGAAAGAAAGATGGGACCAATCTGATGTTTTAAATTTGTCATTCTCCTCTGAAAGGCTCTGAACCCATACTCACATTTTTACTCTCAACTCTTACCTATCTTCCCACTGTACTAAGGCATTTCCCTTACCTCTATCTTCTTCTTGTACCCCCATTTTATCATCTCTTCCTATGTTGCTATGCACAGAAGTCCCTTCTGACTTCTCAAATAACTCCTGAAATATCACTTATGCAAAGCCCATAGTTTTTAGCCAGTACTTAAATAATAACGCTGGATTCAGATTCAGTGGGAGTCTTTCCCTTCATTTCCATGGGGTTTGTTTGCCCTGTAATCTTGATACAACAACCCAGAACTAAAACTAAGAGGGAAGAAAAAGCAGGAGGGCTGGGTATAAATGGTGATCCATAGGTCTGATCCAGCACCTCTAATGCAGAACCTAAGTTAGAACCATCATCTGGGGCTGCCCATTTGGGGGTTTTTGAATATATATATATATATATATATACACACACACACACATACATACACACACACACACACTCTAGTCCCTTTGTCTTTGCCCCAAAGACTGTCATTTGGCCAATGTAATTAAACACACACTTTGTCCTAATATCTTGTGTCCACTACAGCAATGTCCTTGCCAACAATTAAATTAGCTAAAGAAAGGTGAGGTTTTGTTTTGTTGGGAGGTTTGTTTGTTTTGTTTTTTTACCCACAAAGAAGTGGTTTGTTTAGTAAAAATCCAAAGATGACTGCTCAGACATAGTGATAGGCTACAAGGAAAGCCCAAGAGGATTTTAAAAGTAAGGCTTTTTAACATTCTACAGAGTAGTACAGCCAACTTTGCAGATCCAAACACTGAGGCGACACCCTGCTGCTTAAGGATTTTACCCTTTACAGAGTTAGAGGTCACAGAGCAGTTTAAAAGAAAGCAGATGCCAGTTCCAGAACAAAAAGGTGAAATATGGAAGAATTCCTTCAGTTCAACTGATTACTTTCTCTATTTCTGTATGGTCCTACTTAAGTGCTCTGTATGTACTGACAGGCCCTGACTTTCTCCCTAACCTTTCCTTTCTCACCAATAAAAAAAGAAAGGAATTAAATTGGCTGTGCACAGGCTCATCATTCCCCTACTGACCCTTTGTTTATTGTTTTGCCTCTTTAGATTTTAAGTGCGCTGGATACTGGGACTCTCCTCTTCCTCTGGTTTCATGTAGCAGCAACTACAATGGGGCCTCAATCCTAATTGGCACTTTTGGGCACTAATGCTGCCCGATAATGCCTTCCCTGTTCTGACCACCTGCCTAATGAAACATTACCATTAATGATGAAAGGTTTCACAAGTTATAAGCTACCTTGTCCCCTTACTCTTCCTTTAACATACATTTCACAGCCACAGTGAGAAAGCGACAATCCCCACACTAGTTTAAGAACTTGCACTATTAGTGTACTCAAAGCCATCTAAGATGCCATACAATGCAAGAGCTTCTGCTCTTGTTTTAATTGACAAGGGCACTGTTACCAGCCAAAAAACATTATTAAAAATGAACATAAAAAAAAAAAAAAATATGTTACAAGTGTTAACAAGTATCTTCTTGGAATTTGAAACCCTTCAGTGAACTGTTTGATGCTGAAAAAAACTTTAACCTTTACCAATTAACACAGGTAATATGTTCACAAAATGTGGTAGTAACCCTTGGGGCTTTGAAGGGAAGACACTCTTGCTTTTATTGCCAAATAAAATTTTGCCAAGTATATCATGAAATAAAACCAGTTAGGTGGTCTTCAATTCTAGAACTGTCGTTTTCTTCTCTCTCTCTTTGTTTTTTAAAACAGATGTCTTGTGTAAAAGTGCTGATACCTTTCTTCTAATGAAATACACTCTACCCTCCTAACTTCAGTCCAGAAATAAAAGCACTTTGCTTTTTGAAATGAAGTAATTTAGCAACAAAGTTGCTTATGATGTTGTTTAATACAGAAGAAACCATGATACAGTAGCTCTGAGAAGGTAGAGTGTATATACACAAAAGGGGGATTTATTTATACTCTGCCATCTGTTATTTGATGCGAGAGAACAACAAAAAAAAGAAATCAAATGCATATTCTTTCTGGTATTTATACATGCAACCATGTCATTACAAATTGTATGCACATTGGTAAATTTTAAAAAGGAATAATAGACAAATTTAGGAATGTCCCAATGTACTTAAGAACTCTAGCTGATATTTTAATGATCTGATTTTGCAAGACAGAACTGAGCATGTGAGAACATGGAACGGGAATCTGAACTACAAACAATACACTGATTGCACCACATCAAAAAGGCATCTATTTATGCAGCTTTGGATTTCTAAGTGGCAGCTAAACTAGTTTTTAGTTTATTGGATTTTTGAAATGCAGCTTAAAATTCGGTCACATTATGTTTACTGGTTTGGTGAACTGGAGCCATAGAAACAATTGCTATTAATTGCGGGGGGGGGGGACTTCAACATGCACAATTCAAACCTAGTTCTGCTTCCCTGCAGAAATTTTCTTACTGTGTATGAAAAGATGTAAAGTACAGTGAGGCACAGCAGCGATGCAGCAGCTCTGGGGATGCACTACAAACCTGGAGCTCAGGCAGGAGATCTTACAGGCATTGCCCAGAGATCAAGCCTGTGTAAACAGTTCTCCAGAATGCACCATGTTCCTTATGCAATTGTGCAGAATGGCTTTAGTCTTAAGACAGCTGCTCGCTAACTCTTGTTTTCAAAAGAGGGATGGAGAGTGGGAGAAATGTAATGCATTGTGATGACAGCTAGCCGAGAGAGAGGAGTGCAAACAGAAAGAAAGAGACAACAAAATATTTAAACTATCAATTCCAGTCGGAAAGAGAGGTAAAAGCACTGCTGCCTGATAAATACCTTGCTATAGTTGCAGCCCTCATTTTGGCCTTGCAAACTACAAGCTAGAAGGACAGCATTTAGAAACAAAACACAAATGCCTCCCCCCACCCCTCCACCATCCTCTCCAACTAGCAGATTATTAGATTCTGGGTGTGTTTCCTCGACAGGCAGAGCTGGTTAACCAACTCTAACACGATGCAACTCGACTGTCCCCCCCACGTTTAAACCTCGTTGTGGATTAAAGCCATGAAATTAATTGTAATAATAATAAAAGCAATTTGAAATTTTATTGTTAGCTCTAATGGCCGAAAACAGGACAGGAGCCACTTTGTCCACACACTTTGCACGCTGCTTTCCCCGCCCCCTCCCTCCCCC